ATTGCATCAAATAACTTGACAATTTCATTAAATAAATTAAACTAGCTATTTTGCATTACATAGACAAAAATTACCAAAATCTACTAAGTGGTTTTTACAGATTTTTTCCCCCTTTTAAGCCACATGTTTGGGCAGCTAGGTGGAACAGTGGATAGTGCAAATCAGAAAGTACTGAGTTCAAATACTGCTTCAGGTGCATACTAGTGGTGTGACCCTGAGTAAGTTACAACTTCTATCAGCCTCAGGTTTCTCTTCTGTAAAACGGGGAAAATAATAGCTACCTAACAAGGCTGTGGCAAGGATCAAATGAAATGTATGTAAAGTACTTTGCAAATCTTAAACAAACACATATGCCATCATTATTATTAATTATATATGTATATGTGTTAGGGTATATGTACAGATTTAAGCTAAGTGAGGAATTAATTAGAACCCAAATTCAATTGAATTTGACAAATGAAGATGTTGAACTGAATCAGATAAAAACATTTGTTGATCACTGTACTAAGTATAAGGTAGATATAAAAACACAGCCTTTGGACTTGCAGTGTTTATTATGGCTTAGGAAGCGCAGCAATACTATACAGGGTGTCCCAAAAATCTTAGTGCAGTTTAATCTACCAAAACTTAAAATGGCACTAGGATTTTTGGGACACCGTTTTTTATATAGTATGAATTATTTTAATGTATTCCAAAAATGATTTAAAAGAACTTTCTGAGTACTTAAAAGTACATTAGGAAACAATCACCACTGGGAAAATATATTACTACTTGATAGGAATACCAATATAGTAGAACTTAGTGATAAAGAATCCCACTTAATAGACACATTAAAACATATTTACTTATCCGACAGAAAATTTATAGCAAATGTGAAAGCTGAAAAACATTAAAGTATAGCTCATTATTATCTCAGCAACTAGAAAGATTTTAGGAACATTTGGCATCATATGGAAGTGGGGATCTATCATGCTTGGGTACCAGTTCACAATTAGTTGATGCTTCCACACACTCAGCAGTCTTCTATATATCAGGAAATTGCTCTTCCAATAGTAGGTTTCTTAAGTGGATCTGCACTGCTCTAATGGATTAAGACCAAGTTCTTATGAATCAGGTTTTGGGTTGCAGGAGAGAAGGATTTGGACTAAATGTGTGATTTCATTTGTAGAGTGTCCTTCACTATGAGAATTCCCTTCACCAATGCAGATTGACATCTTTTTTGCAATTTTTATTCTTAAAGAGTTGTCTGGGCATTAAGAAGGTAAGTGACTTGCCCAGTGTCAAACAGTCATTGTGTGCCAGGGGTGGGGCTTGAACTCGGCTTCCTTACTCTCTCCACTATGGTACCCAGTTTCATAAATGGTGAGTAAAGTGATAAAAATTTTGTTATTAATGAATTTGCTTTATAAAGTATTTTGCTATTCTATGGATTTAGTTTAATTAGATCAAATACTGTCTCATGCGCATAGACGAGCTCTCTTACTTTACCATATAAAGTCTGTTCTTATTATCCATGCACAAATATTATAATACAGTCCTTCCACAACAGCAAGGATAATAAAAATGTAGCAAAATTTTACCTATGGAAGGTGGAGGGAGCTCGCTATATATAGAGGGACAAAAAGCATAGGATGGGGCCAGGGAACATTTTTGTTCAGAACTGAAACCAAAAAGCTCAAGTTAGCAAATGGTGACAGGAAATATGAAACTAAATATTCACAACATACATAATAGCTCTCATTTCTTTTAAATAGTATCAAAAACTTGGGTTATTTACTATCTATTGACTTCCAGGTAGTGCTTCCCCCCTGCCCCAAACTGGGCAAAAGCCAGGAAGGAAGGATATGTGTGGACCACTCCATTTTTATAATAAGAGTGTTGTTTTCTCTAAGACAAAGTGTTTTTAAAAAGGATAATGAACGTTTTTGAGACTCTATGCTCATCGATCACTTAATAACATCCTTGCAAAAAGAAAAAAAGTATTGCCCCCAATGCTGTTAAAATTGGGTTTTTAGAAGTTAAGAGAAAGTTGGTATCTTGAATAGTAAAATCGTATCATAAGTCAAGCCCAAAACAAGTGCTTAATAGCTGTTATCTATAAATTATAAGGGAACCATCCAGGCCTTAAAAAAATAATATTCTCACATCTTGAATTTTGGCACCTTTCTAAATTTGCACAGGTGTAGATCCTGGTCATTATCAGAGAAATATCCAAGCAGTGCCAGTCTCATTACTGATCTCACCATTCCCTTGAATTTTTTAGACATTATGGTGTCTATAAGAAGATATAATCATAAGCAAGTCAAGATAATTGCAACAGCTATGCCTCTAGATATTAAGTCTTTGGATATCTTTAGCACTCAAAAGGTGCATCTGAAAATAGGTAATAAGCATGAAAGTTTTAAATGGATAGAAATCAAATGAACACAATTTAAAGATACCTGATTTTGGCCTGTTGTCACCTCAGAAAGGACGTAGGTCTCAGTCACATAACAGGAGGAGGATGGCAATTTCAACTTTTTAGAAGATCAATAAATTATATCCATTCAACTACTATTTTATATATCCAAAATCATATATAGGAATTTAAATACTATAAGCATAAAATTGGACAGCTCTGTGGTGCAGTGGATTGACTGCTGGGCCTGGAATCATGAAGATCTGAGCTCAAATCCAGTTTCAGACACTTACTAGCTGTGTGACTCTGGGCAAGTCACTTAAACCTGTTTGGCTCAGTTTCCTCATCTGTAAAAAGAACTTTGCCAAGAAAACTCCAAATGGGGCCATGAAGAGTGGGGCATAACTGAAAGTGACTGAAAAACAGCAAGAAACATAAGGTAGAAGGAGGGGCAGCTTCACTATCAACTGAACCCCACCCCAGGGATTAAAAAAAGATTCCACAAGAGTATAGTCAACAACAGTGAAGGAGGATTTCTCCCCTAATCTATTATCAAATTTTAGCCCATTTTTACTTGTCATCTCCTTGCTCTTCAAATGTTAGACCATTCCCATTTTCCTAAAATGGTCCATAGAAAGCATAAAGTGCTGGCTTTAAAAATAGGTGGCTGCTTGTGGAGTGTGATAGGAAGAATAAAAAAAGATCCCCTTGTCATCAGATATCTCCTCCACAATCCTGGTATACATGGTACCTGACAACGTACCATGATATATTCTTCATTTGAATGATACCCCATGAAAAGTACTACCCTCAGGTTTAACACCTAAGACTTACTTGGTAAATAACTAAATAAATAACAAATCTTGAGCCAGGACCCAAAAGAGGAACCTAAGTATGAAACATGGAGTATCTTGAAATGGAAGATGGGAGGGTGACAAAGGCAAAAGTCTGAATGTTAATTTGGGTTGGGATGATGCGGGCCAATACTTCATAAACACAGTATTAAAGAATATTTTGGTGCCATATCTATGCGATATATATGTACATGTATTTGCATATTGCACATATATACATACAGAGAGTACCTATATATACATATACACATATTTTTGTGGAATATTCTTTCATATCTAAGAGTGGCTAGGCAGTGTGTCATGGACAGCAACAAGAAGAGGGCCTGCTTCTGTGCTTTTCCCTTAATTTTTACCTCTAATTCATCTTGCATAGGAGTAACCTTTACCATTTCAGTGTCAGTATATACACACATACACAAAACATCATCCCTGAACATACCAGTGGGTATGTTCCTCATAGCAAAATATCCTAATGGCAAAATCACCAAAGAAATGTGAATCATGGTTGTCCCCCAACAGTTTCTTTTTATATAGTATGATCAGTATTGCTCATTGTCATTCCAAAGAAGCTTAGGTGCCATTAAAAAGAGAATTTTGTGTACTAACAGTAAAAAAAAAAATGCAAACAATTGATTTGGGTGTTTTCACCATTTACTGATTCCAATAGGAAGACTCAATAGCTACTTAACATATAAAGACAGAAAAAATAATTAAGTCACATTAGGTTTGGGGAAAAGACTTGTGCCACTATTATATCTTATACATTTTTGGTTATTTTTCTACAATGCAACATAGACCAAGAGTATTATATATTGTGGTAACTTTGTTCTTTAACACTCCAAAGCAGCACCAAAAGTAAAATTCTTTTTCTGTTTGTTTCTAATGGTCTCAATGATTTTTATGAGAAGGGAATAGAGCAAGGTAATAAGTGGAAAATAAGTTTTCTTTCTGCCTCCATAGGAAGATGAAGATGATAGAAGATAAAAGATTGCTTCCCAGAAGGTCTAGGATAGTTATTGGGTAATGGAATGAGGGAGAAATTACTCAATTGTTATTATTCTTATTATTATTAGGATTGGAAAAGATAGAATAAAAATATCCGGCAATTAAACCCAAGTAAAGTGATAGTAAGAAAGTTCCTAAGTGCCTTCAATGAGTTCAAGTCACTAGGCCTCAACAAATTGTATCTCAGTGTACTGAACAATTTGGCAGATGAGATTCTATGATTCTGTTACTGAATTCTATTAATTTAACACTTGTTTATTTCCCTTTAAACTTCCATAATGTCGTAAAATTCAACTGTGCAGCAAGAGATGACTACCAAAATTTAAGAAAAATCTTTCTGCAATGCGTCTAATAATCCTTTAGAAGACATTACTTTTATCAAATGAATTGCTTACTTGTAATGAAAATTAATTAAAATCAGTTTTATCTGAGCTATCAAATTAACAATGATAAATCTACAACCAAATGAATTATGTAAGGAGCTCACTATATACTGGCCTTTTAATGTCTTCTCTCCTCCCCCTCACTCCCTGCCCCTTACTGACTAAAAGGAAACATTAGTCCCAAATGGGAAATCTACCTCAAACACAGTTAAAAGGCAATGGGACATAGAATTAAATGGCACTTAACTGACAGTAAAACAAACAAAAAGACACACAAATGTATAATACCAGGTTACCAAAAAGATGTCAACCACCATCCCTCAAGAGAAACCCACTGACGTTTAGGACCAAAAATCCTACCTTCTACTAAGGAAGTTAGGAGAGTGACATTGGCCGCTTTCCTTCTTCCTGCTGGCAGATTCAAGCCCAGCCTGTCCAGCTTTTCTCTCAAGCATCGTCCCCCATTCTTGGATTTTGCTCTGTCAGGAAACAAAACAAAACTAGTATTTGGAAACTCACCTGAGTTAATCCACAGAAAGAACTGATCACAAATAATTTCACCTAGGAAGGAATCTCACCCAGCAGGTGTCCCTAAAGTGGAGGTGTAGAGTAAACAGATAGGACTGAAGACCCTGAATACCACAAAAAAGCCACTGAATAACTTTGTCTTACCTTCTCAAAATACCTCCCAGGAGGGAAGCATTGAGGCATTCAGGAGGTGAGAGGCGCCTCTTCACCTCTGCTATGGTCACTTTGTATTTGGAAGTGGAACTCAGTAGTGATAAGCGACCAGGGACAGAGCAAAATAAGTCGGTGGGGTTAACCACACAAGTACCACCTTGGAAAGAAAGAAAGAGAAAAAAAAAGATATCCACGTATTAGTGACAAAGTGAAGAGCACACGAATGACATGCAGACTTTTTGTTAGGCACAGTGGAGGTCATAGCTGCAAGTTACATTGTTCATTTTTAACAACATAAACATCCCAAGGAGAACCCAACAGATCAGAAAGAACTCATTTCTCTCATCCTATACTTGCAAAAACTTCTATTTTTTAAAATGAAAACCCCAGCACTACACCAGTTAATCTTAGCTCTTTATTCATGATGAGATAATGAGTAAGTGCACACTTTACTGCACTTTGTTGTTCCTCTAATAGGACACATGGTCTCCCAGTTCTGAGCATTTTCACCTCATTGCCTCCTGGCTTCTTTGACTTCTTTCAAGTGTCAGCTAAAGTCCTACCTTAGTTAAGAAACCTTTCTCAGTCATCTTCAATCTTAATGCCTTCCATCTGAGACTAGGCCCTCCCCCCCATATATCCTGTAAATATTTTGATTCTAAATCGTTCTTTTCATGTTGTCTCTCCTATTAGGCATTATGCTTCCTTGAGGTAACTGATCGATCAGTGGATTCTCTTGGTAACAAGAAAGATGAGTTCAAATCATCTCAGAAGCTTACTAGTTGTGTGACCCAGGGCAAGTCACTTAACTTTAGTTTCTTCAGCTATAAAATGGAGATAATAATACCATATACCTGAGAGGGTTGTTGTGAGCCTCAAATGAAATAATATCCATAAAAGAGCCTGACACATAGTAGGCTTTACATAAATGTTTGTTCCTCTCTTTCTTGAAATCAGAGGTTTTTTGTTTTGTTTTTGCTTTTCTTTGTATTCCCAGCACTTAGTATGTACCTCCCACATAGTAGGAGCTTATTAAATGCTAGCTGGGTCACTGATCCACCTCCCACCCTCTTCTTTGAGGTTATAGTTCTTTTGAGGAAGCAATTGCCCATTTTTAAGCACAACGCTCATCAAAACTCTGCAAATCTATTTGCAAGCTGGCGAGTGCGCGCGCGCGCGCGCGCACACACACACACACACAACACACACACACACACACACACACACACATATACACTTAGGGTAGCAAGGATAAGAGAGAGACTGTAGTAACTAATTCTAAACTCTGTCCAAGGAATATCCTTGGATTCGAACCCAGTTTCCGTTTAAGATTTACAAAACATGCTCTTTAGCTTAGTTTTTCCGCTGGCCGCGGACTGCAATCCCCAGCCCCTGACAAACGTCCAGCAGACTGTGTGAGGGGCAAAGCCGTGTGCTCTTAGCATTACAACTCTGCCCTCATCGCCCACCTGTCATTGAAAGGTTAAGGTGAAGGTGGAACTGGCAAAGAAAAAAAAGAATTCAGAGTGTTCGGACCCTTGCTGGGATCCTTGGTTATTCTAATCACAAATTTCCAAAACAAAACATTATCACCTGAGATAAGAGTTGAGGGATTCCTTCTCAGATTCAAATTCTGCATGTAAGATCCTGATGAAGTGTCTGATTTCAGGGGTCAATGAGGTTCTTAACACACTACAACCATTTTTCTCAGATGGACAGGAGGAAGGGAGTAGGGGGACCAGATAGGAAGGAGAGACGCATTGCGAGGGATAGCAAAGATAACATATTTATGGCTGAAATAGCCCTTAGATGTCAGTCAGTTCAACTCCCTCAATTTACAAAAGAAGAAAGTGAAGCCCAGAGAGTTTACATGACTTATCTAAAGTCAGAGATAATAAGTGGCGGGGCTGGCATTTGAAACAGAGTCCTCTAACTCCAAATACTGGGTTCTTTCCACTACCCTGAGTCTCTCTCTTCCCAACCCTTCCCAATAATACACATGAGTAAGTAAATGAGGATGTAAGGATTAGATTTGTAGGTGGTTGAGCACATGGGAAAAGAACCTGAGAAGAGGCTTCTAGACAAGTGAATCACCCCAACCTAGGGCAGAAAAATCATATTGACAGGGACAGATCAAATCCCAGAGCTCAACTGTATTTTAAAGATTCATACACGAGTATCCTGGGCCCTGTTCTTCCTCTCAGGTGCTCACAGCAAGAAGTTTCCTAGTAAAGGATGGAGCTTAAGAAATCCTTAGGGACCAGGACTGGGAGAATGATTGTAGAGAGGGCCAACTGAATACAGTGGAAGAGCAAAGGGTCTGAACACACACCATTGAGACCCACCACAATATCCTCTTCAGGCCAAAAAACTTTCCACTTAAAAGAAATGGACCTACAAATCCTGTTTCGGAATCATATATTGATTTGAAGACTAATTTAGAATCAAAGATTAGGAATAATATAGTGATTTTTTTATCTGCTACTTTGCCTTGAAAAAGTCTTCAGTCCTTTCCCTACAATATATTGTTTCGGGAAAAGGAGGGAAATTGTTCCAAAATTCCTGGGAGAGAAACTTGTTCTTTGAGTCTTTACTCCACACTCCCACCCAATCCTGCCTCTATAAAACAGTAATAAATGCATTTTATGGGGTTAATTTTAAGTGACACCAGGAAGAATCAAAATGAAAAGACAGGAGATTAAATTCATTTTGTGGCACCTTCTTTATAATCATCCTTGGATATGAGTATTTAATTATTAAAATGGAGCAGTCTTCCAGTTTTAAAAATCTAATCATCTTAAAAACACAAATATAATCTGCCTCTGTCTGTCTTTCTCCCTTGCCTCTCCTTGCCTACCTTTTCCTCCTCTTTTCTGTCTCACTCTTATCTCTTCCATTTCCCTCCTCTCAACTTCCCTCTCCTGTCTTTCCTTTCTTCTCTGTCCTTTCTCCTCTCTTCCTTCTTCCCTTTCCTTCTTACTTTCTTTTTTCTTTTTCCTCTCCTCTTCTCTCTTCTCCTCCATATCATAATAATAGCAATACCTGATAATTACATAATGCTTTAAAATTTGTAAATCGATTTACATGCATCATACAATTATGCACATCAACAGAAACACAGTCTAAGTGCATATACAGAAAAGTTATAGGCCCACATTCTTCTTCATTTTCTTTCAAGCTTGCATGTTTGTACAGAGACATGAACACAACTAATAACAAGACTGTTTCTTTTAAGTTTAATGGGGGTTGGGGAAGGTAAATTTCTATGAAACTTGCCCAGCTACCATTTAAGAAAAGGAAATTTGTTTCAAGCATTTCCCCCAAATTTCTGTGGGTTATTATCATGATTTTGGGAGTCAAATAGTTCTCTTGCCTATCTTTGCAAATGAAGGAAAATACATGTGTGTATGTACATATTTCTACTGAAAATTTGTCTTATTAGGTAGCCTGAACTCTATTAAATAAAATCCAAATACCTGATACGTGTGTTACTAGGCTTGTAAAAGCTAACATTTCACATATCTCTATAATATGTGTTTACCTATTCCCTAACAAGGATGCAGTGACAACTTGAGTTTGCCTACTATTAATTCAATCCAATATAGCTCAGCAAATATTTATTAAGTATCTGTCATGTGCCAGCCACTGTGTTAGGTCCTGAAGATGAAAGACAAAAACAGTTCCAGCCCTGTAGGAGCTTGCATTCTACTTCATTGTAAGCTAGTACTTATTGGGCTGGCGATATGGGCCATATATTTGTATTAAGATTATACTTTTACACACACATATATTGCCTGAGGATTTACTTTGTATTCAGGATTAGCATCAACTTGAGCTTCTTTTATTTTATTTTTTTTAATGTCTCAGCATCTTTAAAGGGAATTCCTGTTGCTTTGATACTTGGCACTCTTGCAGTCTTTGGGGATCTCTCCTACCCCCACTGAAGATTTGGCAACAAGTTTGCAGCAACATAGAGAATCTGAAATCTCCCCTTCCAGCGGTTTTTAGGGTGCTAGAAGAAAATAGCTTGTTGGTTTCCTTAAAAAAAAAACACCTTATCTTAAGGCTTGTTAATATCCGGAACACCTGGGGTGGGAGGAGTCCTTCCTAAAAGGGAGTCTAAAGCAATGATTTGCAGACTAGTGCTTACATACCCAACACAATTCACAAATCCTGCCTTATCAGCAGTATACATAGCTGAGTTTCTTGATGGAAATAATTATACTCTGGGTATATACAATAATTCTTCCTTAAAACATAATTGATAGGGACTGGACCTGTGAATTCATTATTATAGGCAACTCCGAGGTCAGGAAATTCCCTCTATCACTTCAGGTTGACATTGGTGTCTGCAGTTTAAATTCTTAGAGTGCTGAGGGGTTAAGTGAATTGCCCAGGGTGACAAGCCAATATTTTAGAAGTAGCATCTGAACCAATGATTTTCTGGCTTTGAGTCCAGCTCTCCATGCATGCTTCTCCACACTGCTTCTTCTAAAAAGACCACACATAGACATACAATGGATCACATTGCACTTTCTAATACACAACAGTGATAAACTTGATATATAGTAAATTAAACATAGACAGGAACAGGAAATCATAGATTCATAGATGGAAGGGAACTTAGAGACTTTGTATTTCAACTGTCCCACTACATAGAAGAGGCAAAGTGGTACAGGTCACAGGAAAGATCACTTGGACTTGTAATTAGAAGTGCTTTTCATTCTGTCCCTGCTGATTTCTAGCCAAGCATGTTATTTAAACTTCCAGAGACTCAGTTTCCTCATATGTAAAGCCAAAATAATAGGATTGCATTACCTACCACACAGTCCCAGATTTGTTTCAAGGAAAGCATTGTCAACTGTAAAGTGATATGCAAATGTGAGTCATCATACCTTTATAATAACTACTCACATTTATTCAGTGCTTTAATATTTGTAAAGTGCTTTACTTGCAATCCTATGAGATAGTGGATTATTTCCATTTACAAGACTGGAAAGAGGCCAAGAGGAGCTGATTTCATACTGAAAAGAATCATAAAAAATAATCTCTTCCAACTCTTATTTTTCAGACGAGAAAATTCTGGCACAGAGATTATGAACTAGCTACTAGCTACATGTATCACACAAATGGCGTCAAAGTTAAGATTCTGACCCA